CTAAATATCAACTCTTGTTTTAGCTCTTAGACAGTAAACCTCCTCTAACGCTCTTTTAATGCATCAAATTCACACAAGCTGCAGTGCTTCAAGGCTAGAGAACATCTTCATTTGTCGCATGCATGTTGGCAGGGCAGATCCTTCACACTGGCAGCATGAGATACGACTCACAAAAATCTCAGAGGCCAGTGAAGTGAATACAATAAAGTAGTTGTGGACAGGGTTGTGAGGAGCTGTATCGAGCTTATTATTTGTCTAATCTTTAGAATTTCTTAGTAATTAAGTGCACTTCCTGTATGATTTTCAAAGAAAATGAACAATCCGGCATTGTGTGAAGAAACCCTCAATTTCACACAATACTTAGATAGATAGATAGATAGATAGATAGATAGGCTGTGTGAAGCTGGACTAAAAAGTGTAACATAACACAAACACTTAATTAATGCTCCAAGTGTTAAGAGTGGCCATCATCTAGTTGACATGCTAGCTTCATGGCTGAGTAAGCTAGCCAAGTAAAATTGTCTTAAAAATAGCTTCACTTAATAAGCTGTTAGCGGTTAGAGATGTTTACCTTGATAGCAGTTAATCAGTTAATTCTGTTAATAATTAACTGAACTGGTATTATCAAAAAACAACAAAAACATCAGCTTGTCAATAGATTGGCGTTAAGGGGCCATGATGGCTAAGAAAAGTCAAAATTTCACAAATCAACAAATAATAAAAGCTTTTTTGATATGTCACCACTTTATTTTAGTGATGCTCCGGAAGTACCTTCATGTAGGTCAAGCAACATTTTAAAATAAAAGTGGCCCGAGCAGAGACGGGCATTTTGGCTCGTTATACAATAAGCTCTCTAAAGTACAGGAGGCAGTATACGCTCTTGCTCAGGTCATCTGGAATCCATCTCACCATGTAAGAGCCGGGTTTGGAAGTTAAACCGAATTTGCCACAAGTTAGAGGTCTGATAATCGCTTATCTAAATTAATGTCCATGTTAAAAGTTATTTAAAAAATGAACTAATAATAATTAATTATCGGTGCCCAGCTCTGGTTATTTCTTGCTAAAGTAACCACGTTTATCATGAAATCCCTAAAAGTTGAGTGAGAGCAGTTAGAGGAAACACAGAAAATATTCACTCAATTTGTTTTAAATGTACCAAAATTATGAAAAAGTTTTTGCAACATTGATGAAGACAGTAACACCCCAGTCCTAAAAAAAACTGTGAAACTTAAATTATTCCTATTCAGTGGCCCGTATTATATTTTGATGCTTCTTTAGATGGCTTATTTCATGGCACCCACCTGGCCACCATCGCCATAGAAACAAAGACCTGTGTCTGCCTTCCCACGTAACTAGATCCATTTATCTATATCAACCTCATCTGCTTCAGGAAAGGCCTCAGAATGTATATACTACATGGGCTGTATACAAATGATGACCTCGTCGTAGTAAAAGCACACTCAGTGAATGAGAACAAGCTGGTCAGAGATTTCTGCTTGACACCAGGCATGGGCCATGTAAGGACCTCGGCAAGACTTGTTTATGTTCTTCTTCTGTTCACTTGCCTTCTGATCTCATCTGACCAGCTAATTGGCTCAGAGGAACATCTCTATAACTAAAAACCAATGTGACCTTCTGTTGGATTGTTTCTGTGGGGAACATTTGTATCTTCAACTAAAATGAATGTTGTATTTCAAGAAAGAAATGCATGAAATAAAATAAGAGGAAAATGTGATGTGAAAATAAAATACCACATGTCTAATATATAGTGGTGTGTGTAATGTATCATGTTTTTGTGCTTAAACACTGAATGATGTAGGTGTTTATCAAAGATTCTGTGAGCATACAAGGGACAGAGATGATAAGAGTGGTAATGTCTGATGTGTCCTTGTATGTGTGTAATTTGTAACGATCCAATGGAGAACAGTTATGAAGCTGGGACTCTGTTGCCTCCTACTGGTGGTGTATAGAAACAAACAAAATCAAGATAAATTGAAAAGAAAATGATTTATCTGGCAGTACGTTGGAGCAAAAAGCAAAAGAACTAGAGGACAAAACGACATTTTCAAACTGTACATCCTTTACCAAAGATAGTAAATGTCCTCACCTTTTCTTATATTTAATGTTTTTTTAATAAATATAATAATAATTTAATTCTGTTTTTTTTTTTTAAATCAACGTTTATATTTCACAAATCTTCTCTCTATTGAATATATACAGTGTAATGAACAGATATGAAGGAGACATGGTTTACCTGTTAATAAGCCTGCTGCCACCATAACCTGGCCATTCATAAATGGAAGACAATGGATGGATGGATGGAGGGAATTATATTCTTGTAATTTTATACCTATTTAAGACCACAATCAGTTTTTCTACATGCTGCTTGGTTGCTTCTTCTCCCTTTGGGCTCAATTCCAACACATTTTTATCGATACCTCTTTATAACAGCACGTGTCTGAACGAGAGTGAAAATGTCTCTCACAAGATTAAAAACTTG